ATTAAACACGAATCCCATTGCAATCCAGCCAAAACCAATTCCATCAATCGCTGGAAAGTCGCCGGCGCCGAGTGGAGTCCCATCGGCAACCAGTTGAATTGGAAGAGACCGTGCGGTGTACGGAATGCAGTTTTAGGCTTAGAATCATCGTCCAGAGGAAGCTGCCAGAATCACGAAAGCAAATCCAATGTGGAGAAGAATCGTGCTCCCACCAAGGCGTCCAGCGATTCGTCAATCCGTGGGAGCGGATATGCGTCGGCAACGGAAATTTTGTTGAGGCGGCGAAAATCTACGCAAAACCGCAACGAGCCATCCTGTTTCTTAACCAGGACGATCGGCGCTCCCCACGGGCTGGTAGAGGGAGAAATGATGTCAGCGGCTAACATGTCATCAACAGCCGATTTGACATGGTCCTTTTCGGCGGGACTTAACCGAAAGGGATTTTTGGCGTATTGACGCACTGTCACCCGTATCAATATGGTGACGCAGCAGATGGGTACAGCCTAAATCGAATTTGTTCTGACTGAAAACGTCGGAAAATTCGCGCAGCAGTGTTTTAAGTTTTTGACGCTCTAAATCCGACAGGTCCGTCGATCCCGCACAAAGCGCCTCGAGCCACCCTTCATCGGTGTCCAAATGTGGATGCGGCAGAGGGACAGTGCCGACGTGATTCGCGACAGGTTCCTCACAGGGCACCGGCGTTGTGTGAGCAAGCACGGTCCCTTGAGGAACTACCACTGTCTGCGACCCCACATTGAGGACCGCGATGAAAGGGTCCCCGTCCCCTTTTACGATGGTCTGGGCCGGAATTAAATGAGGTCCGCTAACTCCGGCCCTAGATGGCCCCAGCAGAATTCCCTGGTCCCCAATGCCCTTAGCAAAGGGCCGACGAAGTTTGAGAGGCACCAACATTTGTGCCCCTGGCGGTACGCGAACCGTTTTGACGACGAACGCCGGTACTGTCGCGAACGCCGTCCGAGCCGCAGTAGGGGAAGGCAGAAACGCCATGCGTCGCCCCGACGGGAGCTCAATGCAGCCCTGGTCTATTAAAATACGAACCGGCATTTTGCCCAAGAAGTCCGTCCCCAGCAGGCACGGAACCGCCAGCGAGGAGGAAACAAAAATCGGGCCGGACAATTTGATATCACCGATACAAATTTGGGCTCGAATCTGTCCAATGATGCCAAGTGAGCCCCCGTTAGCAGCATAGAATGGGACGTTAACCGGCAGTAAAGGACGGCTCTGGACAAGGAGAATATTGTAAATGAGTTCCGAAATGATGGTCGCCGATGCTCCTGTATCGACCAGAATGCGCACCTCAACCCCGTCAATGTGTCCTACCACGGCCGACGAGCCCGACGACGCAGCCACAACGCGATGGGCCAACATGGACCACTGGCTGGGTTCGATTTGAGTCCCCATAGTGGTGCATGTTGGCCCGACGGTGCGCAATGTCGGCCCCCCGTTCGTTGCGGTGTGCGAGTGTGTGACGGGCATGTGCATGGGCCAAACATGAGGGGTGCCGCAACTCGCCGGGTTATGTTGATGGAGCTTGGGAGGAGGAGGTCCGGTGTCCTGTCGAGGCATCGCCCCGCGCTGCCGAGGAGAGCGGCACCCCGAGGCGACATGGCCCCGGATGCCGCAGTTGTAACAGCGCGGGAGCGCTGGCGGCGATGAGGGACGGTCGGAGCGGCTCGACCCGTCGCGGCCCGCCCATACACCTGCCCTCTGCTGCTGTCGATGGTCGACGGCGTAAACGTCCTCCGTCGGGAGGGCGGCTGCAGCCACCGCACGCCCGGCCGCCGTTCTGCTGGCCTTCCATCGCTGCGACAGCAGGTTGGCGTGGAGGAGCCACGCTGCCTGGAGGGAACCCATTTCTGTGTCCTCCTGTGCAACGACGGCGATGTCCAGGTCGTCCGCCAGCAGGAGGATTTTTTCCGTAACCATCGCGTCCACACCTTCGTCGTGCCATTCGAGGGAAGGCCGTCTTCGCCAGCGCCAGGAGACTCGTACGATACGCGAGGGGCGACTCCTTTGCACCCCGCTGGCGATCATAAAAGCGCTGCCTGCATTCCGCTGAAGGTCCGTAGACCGCAGCCAGCAACTGCAGCGCCATCTGAAGCGTGGAGCGTTTTTCCTTGGGCGCCGATGTAAGAGCGGCGAGGGCGTCGCCGTCGAGGAGCGCCGGCAGCGCGCAGAGCGCCTCGGCATCCGACCACTGCGCCATTTCCTGGTGCGCGAGGAAGCGCCGCTGGAAGCCGCCCCAGTCGCCCTCCTCGCCCACAAACTCTTTGAGCGGGGGCAGCCGTTGGTGCAGCGCAGCGGTCGCCGTGGAAGCTCGCACTTTGCTGTCCCCGTGAGTCGTCTGCGCCTCGGCGCGAACGACGGATGGCATCGCCGGTCGCACCAGTGGTGACGCTCCGTCCGCTGGTGATGACGCGGCAGCCCCTGTGAGGCCAATGTCGGACCCGAGGTTCAGGCCGGCCACGCCCTCAGCAGCTGCAGCGGCGATGGCGGGAGATTCAAAGTTGGCGTCCGTTGAAATGGCGGGAAGGCGCGCCGGTCGTCGGCTATCCTCGCCCCGTGGCGGTCCAGCAGCGCCCAGCCGTGTGATGTGTTCGAGCGTGGCGGCAGCAGCGTACAGCAGCTCCGCCAGCCTCGCGTGAGCCAGCCTCAGTCCTTCTGATGCCGGCTCCCCTTCATCCCGACGTCCAGGTAAGGATGCGTCCGGCCCCGGCTGCTCGATGCCTCCTGCAGCCGTCTCGGGCTCCACAATTTCAGCGGTGTCCTCAGCCTCCGGTACCCCGGCTCGAGCTGTCCAGCGCGTGTCCATGTTCGTGGTCGTTCACTTCTGTCACCAGATGTAGTACCGTTGAGGACGCTTGGACACTCGGGGTTGAGGCACACGTATTTATTCCGCAACAGTGGTTACAACCGCGGGCATACAATACTAGAGGGGGTATTGGCCCCCTCACCCGGCTAGCTGGGAATACACTGCTAGCTATCTCTAACCTACCTCCTAGTCCTCCACTAAAGAGCTAGGGGAGGCTATCTGGCCCGACACTGGCAAGTCGGGCTACGGTACCCGGAGTCCCAGAGCACTAACTCTGGTTCTCGGGACCACGCCGCTGGCTCGGTCCTGCGCGGCCCTGACAAGGGCGGCGTCCCAGTGGAGTCCAGGGCTCTAGCTAGACGATCTTGGGTCTTCACTCCTTTAGCTGTAACATTGTGCCCCGAGCCCTCCGGCTCATCCCCTTTTATACCCCAACCCTCCGCTGAGGGGTGGGGCCCCCCGGGGGATAACACTCCGGGCCAGCCCCCCAGGCTGCCTGGTGCGGACGTCGCTGCGAGCACCTCCCCGTGTGCTCACGGAGCCCCGCCCACTGTGTTTGTTTCCCGTGTGATCCTATGTATACAGCCCCTCCGTAACACCCCTACACATGTATGGGTTCAACCGTAGCTGATTTCAGATCTGTGATATTAAGGTTCACACGGATATTGTCCCCTCAGACAAGTACAGAAAGTTTACATTTCCTTTCCATTCACATTGAAAAAGAAAAAAATATTCATGGAAAAATGTAGATGTCGTGCACATCATATTGGTCCATTCGCTCTTGTGTTGTGTATTTTGGGCCACAGAGACAATAGCATATCCAGCTCAGCAGCGATATTTACAACCAACATTGTCTTTCAGGTGTAAAAGGGAACACAAGTCACATCAACGTGAAGGCAATTGAATAGTTACAATTATAAATCAGGTTTAAGTAAAAAAAACTGGTCATTTTATGCACACAATGCCAGCTCTCCATCATCCTAAGCAATACGTTATGCAATTGAAGTCTGAATTTTCAATGTTTTGCAGTTAAACTGCTTTTAACTCAAACGAGTGTTTCACCTATTTAATACCTACATCATGTATTTCTCGAGGTTATTTTTAATCATTAGATATTTATAAAAGTATATAAATTCCAAAAAATATATATACATAGCAAGTAAAAGTTGTGCTAAATATTTCCCATGGTATGCGGGCATCACTTGCATTCAATTGGCATTTACTACGCGACTTTTTGGACAAGTCGTGATGACTATATTTTCACGAATGACTTTTATCGCTAAACAATTCGTGACATGTGCCTTCAAAATGAAGATTGCGATGCTGATGAAAAGACACAATGGGTATCTGTGCGTCTGCTCATTCTCAGAGACTCAGTGAAATACGTTTTTACCAGTTCGTGCTGCCGCTTTGCAGTCTTTAACATGTTCCATTTATCAGTGACAGTGGTGTCACTGACAAATGAGATGTTAAACACTCTCATATTGCGTTTTTTAATGCAGCGATCGCAACGGGGCATTTCACTATAGTATGTATAATTCAAACATGATTAATTTATAGGCAACGTGATTCACTTAAAGTATGTACCATATAGTGAAATGGCATAATACTTGTAATTGCAAGTCATATCAGGTTTTGCAGTAGCAGATATTATTTTTTCTCTCTCATATTCATTGCAGATGACTGCATATTATTCTCTGGAGAAAAATGTTCTGTAATGCAATTTAAAGCACATGACGTTCTCTTGGGAAACAACAAAAGCCTCCTTGTGCACTCCACACTGTGGCTAGGGTGGCTGTAAGAAACATGATTTTTACTTTTCTAAATACAGTGAACTGCGTGATTACAATGGCAATACTCTGGCCTTTTATTAAATTAGTAATTATGGATGTCAAAAAGGCACCTCTCTTTGAGACACTAATCAACCCAGGTTTGTGGGAGTTTCAATGTCACGTGAGAGATCCATTGGGGCATTTTCAGCATCCGCGCTTTGTATTTTGTATGAAGTTGCTTGGTTTGACACTGAATGTAATGATGGAGACGCGTGTCTGTTGCCTGTCATGAGCACGGATGTGCCTCGTGCAGCCAAACCACACTGGCCAACAGCACGGGCCTCCTGCTTGAATTAGGATGCATGGGCTGTTATCCTCAAATCCACTTCACCCACCTGCCCAGCCGTGTCCAGGATCTCCATGGTCACTGGTTCCTCATCAATTATTGCTTGGTGTCGGTAGGTGGACTCTGAAAAAGGTAGCAATAAAATATCACTGATTTACAAACCACCTCTTCACTGTGCAATTACATTACCAATGTATGTATGCATGTTGAACTTCTTTTTCGCACCGTACATAGCCAACCGTTCTAATTGGAGGTGCGGGGGGACAACAAACTAAACACAAAAAGCGATGGTGAATGGTGATGCAAGGCCTTTAGAAGAAATGTAATAATATGTAATCCCACAATGCCTTGTGAGCATTATTACACCTTTTGTATTTGGCTCTTCAATATCTGCACCTGCTGCAACTGTGTGCATGTGTGGTACCACCATTTTACAAGCGGTGGTGGTGGGGGGGGGGGGGGACTCACAGGATCCATAGGGGGCTGGGAGACAAGAGAGGATGAGAGAGTGGGGTTAGGGGGCATGGCTGAGGTGACTACCATGATGTTTACTATGAGCGTAGTGAACATCGTAATTCAACGAAACTATGTTGCATTTATATATATAGGAAGACAAAGATCCCCCGTATAGCCTTATCAGGCTGTTGAGACAAGTGCTGTTAGTGAGCACATATGAAGGCCGGCACAGCACACGAGGGGGTGGGTGGCCAATACCACGTCTGGCCGCCTTTGTCTCCCCCAGTGGCGATGTCCACACACCACACCAGGTACTCATTTGAGGCTGATTCGACCTAGGGGAGGCCCAGGACCAGTTCACAAAATCGTCACTGGTGTTGGTTGTGAACGGGAATCAAATTCGGGTCACCAGGTTCATAGTGCAACTCGCTAACCATTACACTCCTGCTCCCCACTGTATATACACACATATCAACAGCAACATGTATGTGTAGTGAGTTCAACTGAGTCGCAGACGTATACTTGGAGGCAACACCTTTATTTAACTCCAACACAAAAGGGATAACTTTCCCTTAACAGAATAACAACCTGTGGTAGTGACCACCAGGCTAACTCCACTAATTACAACGTAACTAGTTACTACGGACCGGGACCACAGCTCGGGTCCAGGTCCACGTGTTGGAGACTCGTTGATCGGGGAACGTAGACGAAGGTTTCTTCAAGATGAACAACAACAACCCTAGTCCCTCTCGGGACCCGGCTTATATTCTCTGCGGCGTGACTGGCTCCGCCCTTAGCCACGACCACCTTCCAGAATCCTCGGGAAGGATCTGGATGCTAACCACGTGACCACCCCGAGCCCCCACTTGGGCCTCTTTGTAGACTTAACTGGTCACGTGTCCTCTCGGGTGAACCAAAGTGCCATGGCCTTTAGAAACCTCATCCTACAGCTGGCACTCCCATACCCTGTCCTGTGTGGTTGGCACTGGACGCCAAGCGTGGTGCCATCTAGCGCTCACCGAGCCCCTTGAGGGCCGGTACTATACCCACACCCTTGGGGTATCCGCGATGTCGTTACTCCGCACGCCGTGCCTCTCTCGGGCCGGCACCGCACAGTGACATCCCGCGATGTCACTACATATGTGTTAATTAGCATCGTCATCATCATAGCTAGCATCATCCTTATCAGCCATGATGAGATAAAATGATGAGATACAGTGGTTAGAGAATGTGGTGCATCATCATAATTTAAGGTAAGTTAATTAATAAATGTAATACTTTAAAATATTTTATGGATATATGTTGCACTTCTTTCACACCATGTACAATTTCGCACTGACTGGTGTTCTGGGTAATAACCTGAGTGATCACTCCTTCATATTTGGGGTGAGATCATCAGCCAGACCCAAAGCTCCCCCTAAATTGGTTGTGAAGCAGTCCATGAGACACTTCAGCACTCAGGCATTTACTAATGATGTGCTTCACTCGGATATTGACAAGATCTGTGATATCCCCAACCTGACTACAGCTTGGGAGACCTTCAGGTACACGTTTCTCCAAATTCTTAACAAACATGCTCCGTTGGTTAGTTTTTAAACTAAAGGCCCACAATGGTTTGATTCTTTGATTACTAAGCTCATGAAAACTAGGGACAAGGCTTGGGCATTTGTTCAGAAAAGTAATTTGGTCAATGACTGGCTAAGATACAGGATTTTAAGGAATAGATGCGTCAAAAAAGTATGGCATGCAAAAAATGCCTACTTTTCCTCCACTCTCCTGGAATCACATGGAAATGCCAGGATCTTTGGGGAAACAATCAAATGTATCGAAAAGGCATCCAAAACAGATAATCTGCCCGTTGAGCTTAACCAAAATGGGGAATATTTTTCAGAGCCCAAAAAAAGTTGACAATTTTAACCTTCATATTTCTGAAGTTGATAACCTTTTTGATAATGTATTGGGAGTCACCCTGCTCATGCAAATTCCTACACTCCTGTCCAAACATTAAACGAATTTAGTTTCCAGCCAATCCACAAAAGTAATGTTCTGAAACAACTGTCCTACCTCAAAGGGTCCTCCTCTACTGGAGCAGATAGTATTCCCATCTTTGCTCTGCTAACTGTTGGTCACCTAATATACAAACCTATAGCCCATATTTTCAACCTGTCCATCAAAGAAGCATCAGTACCTCTAGAATCGAAACATTCCTATGTTCGTCCACTTCACAAAGAGGGCCCGAAAGATGATCCACATAACTACTGACCTATCTCAATTTTGTCCCCGTTGATGAAATTTTTTGAAAAATTATTGAACTACCAAATTAGCAGTTTCCTGTCCGACAAAAATCTATAAAATCTAAAACAATCTGGGTTCTGAAAAAGATACAGCACCACATCTGCTGCATTAGACTCTCTGAATCACATTTACAGTAGCCTTGATAATAATCAGTACTGTGCCAGTCTTTTTCTTGACTTGTCCAAAGCCTTTGATACAGTCGACCACAACACCCTGCTAAGTAAACTAAGTTGCATCGGTTTCTCCAAACACGCAGTAGAATGGTTAAAAAATTATCTCTTTTCTCGCACCCAAACTGTATTCACAGATGGTTGGAGGTCAAACAGTGTCAAGATAACAATAGGGGTTCCACATGGTTCCATCCTCGGCCCCTCTTGTTCTCTCTTTATGTCAATGACTTGGGCACTGACCTGGATCATTCCAGGGTAAAACAAAAATTTGCAGATGAAACGATACTGATTACTGCTGGCCGCTCTCCAGATGACGTGATTGCTAAGCTCCAGGGTGATTTCAACAAACTACAACATCAGCTAGTTGCTCTTAAACTAGTCCTGAACAATCTTAATTTTAGAACTTTCGTGACTGCAGGAATTATTATTTGGTTCTTTCGGTTAAGTCACGTCTAAAGATAAAATAATAAATTAAATTAAATAATAGCATACGACGTTTCGATTGCAACACAAGCAATCATCATCAGGTATAATGAAATAGCGACATAAAATCTAACCAGAAAACTATAGACAGACATATTAGCAGACAGATATCACCAACATACATAGAGAGAGCAACACAGGTAACAGAGAGGGGTGATCATCTCTGTGGGGTGGCCTTAAATAGACAGAGGGGGGAGGAGGCAGAGAGAGGGAGGGGGTTAGAGAAAACATTTGCATATCAATGAGTGGACAACAAAACAAGGTGCTGCAAGTACGATGACACGGCAAGCAGGCCTGAAAATCAGGAGGACAAACTAAAATTCAATAACCTAGTAAAATATCGAAATGTAATGTAATACAACACAGAGGGTCGGTCAACACACAATTAACGCATAGCCTGGTTGATTACGTATTTCAAAGATTGCTAAGTTAGAATTTAAGTGTGAACATTCCAAAGAGAGGAAACAGGCAGAGAGAAGAGAGAGAGAAAAAAAGGATAAGCTTAAAACTTCCCCGTAGAAGTGGTTCAATCTTAATTTTAGAACTTTCGTGACTGCATTTTAACCTATTTTGATATCTGTCTGCTAATATGTCTGTCTATAGTTTTCTGGTTAGATTTTATGTCGCTATTTCATTATACCTGATGATGATTGCTTGTGTTGCAATCGAAACGTCGTATGCTATTATTTAATTTAATTTACTATTTTATCTTTAGACGTGACTTAACCGAAAGAACCAAATAATAGTCCCGAACACCTCCAAAAGCAAGGTGCTATGCTTCTCACCAGGACTAAAGCAGGAAGTAATTTTTCCCTAATTATATTCATTAAATAATTATCAAATAGAACAAGTCGAGATCTATAAGTATCTTGGGGTCATCCTGGATTCAAAACTGAATTTTTAAGATCACATTGATTATATTGGTAAAAAGAAAAAAGTTAAAATTGGTTTTCTGTATCGACACAACCACTGCCCCCCCCCCCCCTATGTTCCGTTTGGAATTGATAAAAGCTACCATACTGCCTCTACTTGATTACTGTGTCATTATGAGATCGCTTTTACCAGTGGCAAAATATAGTAGTAGGTTTTTACCCTTTTAAACTGGTACCAAACTGACACCTTTATTCAAGGCATCATGTTTGCAATAACCACAACACAAGTAGTGGTTATTGCAAACATTTGGCCATGTTTGTTTGTTGTATTACGGAGTTAGACTGATGGCCTTAATCTAAGTTGTCTTGTGGTTGTTGTTGTTTGACTTGCATTCCACCGGAATTTTTGCACGCAGCGTTGGTGTACGGTGCTTTTTCTGGAAGATTTAGCTGTTTTTCCTGGATTTTTCTGTTTGCGCATAGTCACTTTAAGATGTTTTCTTGTTCATGTTTTTTGTTATTTATTTGTTGTGGTTGCACCCGATTCAAGCGCTCAATGGCTCACAGGGCTATACCAAATAAATGAAACTGAAACTGAAATGTAGCGAACCATGCTAATCGTAGGTGTTATTATTATAATTTTCATATATTTATTATGCTCAGAAATTTGCTATTTATAAATTTGCTATTCATGAACATCCCTGGAATGTATCCCTTGCTTATGAGGGAATACTGTTCGACCAGTTTCTGGTTTACAGATGTTTACTTTTCTCAACACGAAGCATGATGAGATAATGATAACACGTATTTTTTTACTTTAGAATATGTCAATGTTCTTCTAATTTTCTGTCCGCAAGGGGTTTTAAGTGGCAACCCTACAATTACACCATTCACTGTCCCAAGTCTACCACGGGGAGTGTAAGCGACAGCCCTTCCAAACTCCCTCCTTTCGCACCACCCACATTGCACCACTTATAATTAAACCACACGTTGTACCATAAAATCCACTTAATTTGAGATTTTTGGATTCTAGTAAATAAAGAAAAAAAATATGAGTATAATATAAAAATATACTATGTTCTATTTATGCGATCTAATCCAAAAACCTATATTATGGATAGTGGTCGCGAAAGCCTACTATGTGTAAAACCAATATAAAAAGCGGGTGACACGACGCAACTTTTGTTTGGTTATTTCTCTCGTCTCTCCAAGGCGGCAGGTAAAGAAGAGCAATGATTTATCCTCCGCCCCTTCACCGAGCATTCATGATGCCACCATGAGCCCGCCGCACATTAACTACGATGCAAGACCGTTGACGGTCTTCCCACACCCACAGCATTACCTTCTTGCTTTTTGCCCATGATGGAGAGGAGGCAGATTGTTTAAAATCCTGTCCAACTGAGACTTCGCGTGGCCACACACCAGGCAGCTTGGTAGCTGTTGGCGTCTCGTTACGCACGATTGACATGGGGCGGTGGAATCTTGCAAGACCGGTAGTGTTCAGTTTCACAATATTATCCACGAGACGATTTTTGGATCAGATCGCGTAAATATAAATGTCGTTAAAATGGTAAATGCTGTGGGTTTACTCTCCAACACACCGGTGTTCGTGTTTTGTTTACATGACAACCCTTACTATTGGCTGTGTCGGGTGGTGGCGGGGTTAATGACACATTTATATTCATGCGATCTAACCAAAAACCTCTATTATGGACATAAGTGGTCAATTTGCTGCCATTATTTGAGATCACTTGGGGTTTTATGATAAATATAAAACTTCCCAAAGAAACCTACACGTCTACTTTGGAGTGTCTTGATTCCTGTGTTATGCCAGAATTGGGAATGGATGCTGGCATCATTTGGATATGGGATTATAGCCTGACTTGATGACCCCCAGTTCTGACTTCTAACGAATGCAAAGTGGTATTATAAGTAAACAAGAGTTGAAACATGACATGTCACTGGGCAAACCAATTGTATAATGATGATGATGCGCTCAGTGTGTTTCAGCTGCTGTGGAAGCAACCTGCAATACCCCCTCCAGCGAACAAAGAGACGTAGCCGCACGATGAGCTTTAGGGCTATAAAATGTTTGCATTATGCAAAGCCATTCATTGCTCTTTCCATATTATATCAAATCTCTGCTGTATTTTTTACACGTGATCTTCTCTTTTCCAAGTTTCCAAAAGAGGATGGAGTTAGATTTCTGGTTCCATTTCCCCATGAAGATCTATAATTATTGATTCGTTGCACATTCATTCCATTAGACCGCCACTCCAAAATATAAATTACATATTATGAGGAGCAGTGGTAATGATCGTGCTTTGACGAGGTGTGGTTTTTACGGTTACTAGCCCTGTGGCACAATATGAATTGGTCATTGTAAAGATTATATTATCAGGCACTCTTTTTTTAGATGGTATATAAGGATACACATATTATAAATGCCCACAACAATATAAATTATGATGCACGATTGGCATATACGTGATTCTGAAGTCACTAAGATAGCCGTTAAGTGTTTTAATGTTGAGAGCATAAAATGTAGCTTCAATATCCATTCTAGTCACATGCACGAAAAACAAAGCAGTTGTTGGAAAGTGATGTCATTATTAACTCTTCAATTATTAGTCTTGATTAACACAGGAGCACGAGGAACCATTGCTTGGTTGTGGAGTACAACTCTTGCCCCTCCAGCAGAGCCGGCTTCCGAGTGGGCATGGAAACGAGGCATTCGTGTTTAATTCGTTGCCGTCAACGGGTGAGGAGCCCATCATGATAACCTAGTCTTTTTTGCAGCATTTAATATCCGTTGAACCTGCCTCCAAGTCGCCATTTTCTTGACCAGCTGAACAGGCTTTATGCCAGAGCTTATCCAATGCATGCATTCACTTAATTATAGCTATCATGCATCCCACACACACACACTGTCTCTCCCCCTCACATTCCTCCACCCCTGTCATCTTAATAGACACGTTACTCTGAACTAATATAAAAAAGCCATGCAATAAAATGATACATTAATTAAAAAATAACACACAAATTACTTACCCAGTGTAGGATCATATTCCCAGATAAATCTCTTCGTTAGAAACCGCACCACCAACGCTGTAAAGAAAATACAAATGTCATGAAACCTACTGAGGAGAGGTGAGCATAGGATACTCGCACGGCAACGCTGCGCAATGAATACCACGGACGAGGTGGGGATACGAGGACTCGGTGGGGTAAAAGGCATGTCTGTCCCGGTGCTCGTGTGTCGTCTGTTCAGCTGCCACATATGCGTTGCCACAGAATGGGCCCATTGAATTTGGTGGGATTATTCATGGGTGAGCCATAATGCAGCCAGTTTGAGCGTGGGTTACAGCGTGGGGATCGAGCTTTGGATCAAGCTTGTCGGGGTTGGAGCATGGGATCGATCATGGGGTTGAGCGTGGAATCGAACTGGCTATTATTTTCTGTCAATTCCTGGTCCATAACTCTCCAAATATGAGCCACCACATGCCCAGGGTAACATTATATTACATGACGCACCTACTTTATATTATACGAATGCATCCCTCCATATTTCATGGACTCATTCTATTGCGTCACAGCGCCAATCTGCATCTCAACTTGATTAGGGCTGATGTAATTTATCTTAGCACCTGGACAAAAATAGCCTTTTACCCCGTGTCGACGTCTCACACCATCTTAACTTACATGGCATGTGCAATGGAGTCTAGCACGAAGTATAATTGAAGCACACATCATGCAGGACTCCTTTACACATGCATTGTTAACTAGCAATTGTTATGGTAATGCATCAAAAAGTGGTCATGGCCCGAGTTTTTCAACAAAATTCGGCTTTCGAGGATATGGGATTTATTTGGCGTTCAAGATTCATGTATTTTTTTTTTATCTTGACATGATATTTTGAATGTCAACGCAAATTCCGATTACGTTTGCACCTCTCCTGCTACGTTTTCTTGTTTGTTTAATATTAAAATGTTACTGCTTATCAAAAATTATTAAATAGCATTGTCAGAGAATAATCTTGAAAACGAAGAATAAACAATTTTTTTAATAAATTAAGAAAATTAGAATATGTATGTTAAATGACGCGACATTGGTCACTTGAGCAATGTAATAAAGCATTATTTGGTATGATGGGAAAACACCAGATGACAGGAATATTGATCCATTCTCTGTGATTGATTGATGGATTGTTGTTGGGCTAGGCTGACATCCGTGGTTGTTGAATAGAGGCGAGCAATATCAGCGTTCACCCTTTACAATTCACACTCGTGACGACGTCCAACTGATGTAAAAAAATCGGTCTCATGTTATGGGTGATAAGAACTCAGTAATGTTTTGCGCCATGACAGAAGACACCGCATACACGTGGAGCAATGGAACATTAGCAGGGTACACACAGGATGAGGGAACATGACATTGATATTAGCATTCAGTGGCTGTGATCTCGCAGTAAATAGAGAATGGCTGCCGGTGATGATAATTGTATGCCAAGCTGTTAGCTAACAAGAGGCTTAAATCGACACAATTAAATACTGTCTCTGTCTGAGCTAACGATCTTACAACATCCCATTCCGCAAATTGTTCAGAAACATTAACATTCGTGTCGCATATGTTTAAGGATAATAATAATAATAATAAATGCCAGACAATTGGGATGAACGCAGGTTTCGTCCGTACATAATTCGATATTACAGTATATAATGTCCCAACACGAGTGTGGAGCGCGGAGTGGTGTAGGGCTATTAGCGGCGTGCGTATTGATTCGGCGCGGATCGGCCTCAGGGGGTGAACAACGGCTGATCATGGGGCAGTCGTTGCTAATCTCTGCCCCGAGGCGAGAGAGGCACTGAGCGGCCACTTTGAAGGTTGCGTGCACTGACATCCTGGCGCGGATTGTCCGGCTAATCTTACTTATCGCGGGTACTTGTCGTCCCCACAACGACGCCTACGTGGTTATTTCCCGACGTTATTCTGCAATTTTGCATCAAACTAGGAGGACCCATATCAGTTCACAGGCATTGATTCAAGCACGCCTGACTCCGGCTGATGAGATGTAGAAACTGGTCCAGAGTTTTGCTTTGAACCAATGGTTGAAACAAGCCTGACTGCCGATGAGGCATTGAATGTCAAAACCAATTCAGAGTTTTGCTCATGTTGAACCAATGGTTCAAACAAGCCTGTCTCTGCTGACGAGGCACTGAATGTCGAAACCGGTTACCAGCGTTTGCTTTGCGTTAAACCAGCTGCTAACCAGATACTCCCAGAAGGCGGCGTGGCTGACGGGATGTGTACACAAGAAATTGCACGTATTATTTTACGTGGCGATGTCAATTATAGAAAGGAGGATGTCTCCTCCGTTGGTTTGTGTTCTTCTCCTGGCTGCGAGTCGCAATCGCACGGACCACAGCGTGACCGGCGGATTCGCCTGGAAACTGTTAGGCAAGTGAAATCAAATTCCCCATCCACTTTGATTCGCCCCCCCTACCCCCTAAAGCATTGCCGCTCTATTCAAGCCTACACAGGGGTAGCAATTGAGTTGCTGTGTTCGCTACTCATTCCTCTAGCACGCTGCTGCTCCTTCACTCCGTGACGCCGATGCACGGACACGCTCAGCCGCGGCGTTGCTTCTAGCGTCGTCGGCTCAAAGACTCAACCGTGAAGCGACAATCCCCCCTCCTCCTGCTCCTCCTCTGTGTAACGCGAAGGTCCGACTCGTGGTCGCGGCACTACGATGTTGATGATGACGACGATCTCTGTGCGGTTTGTGTCTCGCTTTCGCGCGCCGTGTGAATCCCGCATCGCTGTGCGGAGAGCTGAACAACACGAAGCGGGCGCTCCCTCTCCTCTCGCCCCTCTCTGTCTTATGCACAAAGCCCCGCACCGCAGGGAATAGTTAGCAGCAGCAGCAGCAGCGAGAGGATGTACACGCGACATCATCATCACCAGCACCATCATCATCATCAGCAATGACAATTCACGTACCGGACTTTCCGACGCCAGCTCTCCCCATCACAGCCAGCTTCACGTCACAATTCTTAGCCATGCTCGCCGTCAGACAGAGGCGGCAGACACCCGCGATGTTTTCGAAGGCTCTCCCTCCCCCCTCTCTCGCTGCCTCCACTGTCTACTAGGTAGCAGTAAACTCTTGACTCCGTCGAGCAGCAGGCGGACGCATGCTGTTACTGCCGCTGCTGCTACTGGTGCCGGACGAGACGAGGAGTTCAGCCCCCCCCCCACCCCCTCTGTCTCTCTCGCTCCGTCGCTCTCCGTCTCTTCGGGAGCTCTCGCATCAGGCGGCGTGGCCCCTGCACGCGGCCGCGTGGGCCGCCACGGGCCGCCCACGCAGCAGCAGCAGCAGCGGTGGTGCTCTCGGCGTGCGCCCCCCGCGGCTGCTGGAATCCGCCGCCGCGGTGCTGGTGGTGCCGGGGAGCGGTGGCGCAGTGGTTGGCGCTACGCTGCGCCAAATTGAATACCCCGGCCACCCGGGGTTCGATTCCCGTTCACGGTCAACACCGGTGGTGATTATCCAAAGCGGTCCTGGGCCTCACCTTAGGTCGACTCAGCCTCGAATGAGTATCTTGTGTGCGGTGTGTAAACATCACCGCTGGGGAGACAAAGGCGGCCGGGCGTGGTGCTGGCCAACCACCCCGTCGTGTGCCTTCATAGGTACTCGCTAACAGTACTTGCCCCGACAGTCTGTTAAGGCTACACGGGGGATCTTTGTCTTTGGTTGGTGGCGGTCGGTCCAAGCTTCCCCCCCCACAAATCGCTGCCTGCGGAACGAACTGCGCTCCAAATCGGAGGAACCGGCCTTGCGAACAAAGTACATTGAAACGTCTATCGGTGTCATTTTCCTTGCAGAGATAATGACTTTGTGATTAAACAATAATGGGGGGGGGGGGGGGCCTTTGCACCAATGTCTCACGTCCTAAGTTGGCTTAGACATTGTGAATGTTTAGAATTGGGGGTTTACGGAACTGCGCATTTGCAATTGTTATAACAATTGACTTATTTATCCAGGAATGCCAAACTGAGTCTTTGGGCAATTTTTTTTGCAGGATCCTGCATTGTGTTTTTTTTTATTTTAAGATGTATTCAGCCAGTTAACGAGTGGTTATTTTGCAACAAAATGCACGCGCGCGACGGGGAGACACTCTATCCCCAGTGCAGATGTTGGACCGCACAAATGTTGCATAACTCCCTTCCCGTGAGCGTCGAGGTGCTCCACAGGAAAATTTGATAGAGCAAATGTGCACGAATCTCCATCTATCCCTTCTGATTGGGATACAGTGTTTACCCCTTACACGTGTGGGTTTCCTCTGGATGCTTCGGTTTACTCCCACATGTATTGACACTCAGTAATTGGCCAATAACATCTGAACGTATAGAGAACCGCAGAGCTTGGACAATGTGTTGTCTCTGGCTCACTCCTGCTACCTTCCATGGTTCCTCCTCGCTCCCCTGAGTCGTTCTCTCTCTGCAAGCGTGGGCGAATGCTGTTCGGCGCATTAAAAGTTGAAATTTTTCATGAGCGTATTTTTGTATTCATTGGAAACGCATGCGGTCGTACACGTTCCTGCCACCTAAAGTCTTGATTTAAAACAAAATTAGACATTACAAAAATCCTCGACCGTATAGAGAATATACCGTCACGTTAATATTACACAAAAACAAATCAGCAACTTTCACAGAGGTATGCACTCAGATTATGGTAGGCCTAATGTAAAATGTTATCTGAATTTGGGTTGGGTAATACTATGGACATATTATTAGCAGATGCGGGTACCTGATGATGCACAAATGGAAAACTTTCCAGCAGTGTGCGACTGTGGTCATCCAGAACAGAAAGCATACGGCATATAAGGACGCAATGCCTCATCCACAAATACGAAGGAGACATCACAGCGACGGTACACTCCGCTGGTGCTCCTGACGCGGTTATCTGGGCTTGACCACCTGCACGTGAAATTGTACTTGTTGCTTTGCATCTAAATCAGCCATACGAAATATTATTATCGGACTCTGATTGATCGTGATAATGTTACGGCGAAAAAAAATGTTAATTAATGACTCACTAGCAGCACGCATGTCCTCCGTCCAGTCAGCCAGCAAAACGTTTGTCGAACATAGCACATATGAGATTATAATACCGTAGCATCCATAATAGGGGGTTTTTTGGTTAGATCGCGTAAATATATGAATGTGTCGTAAAAACCCGCCACCACCCAACATACAACTACTAAGAGTTGTCACGTAAACAGAACATGCAAATTCGTCACTAGTACAGCACACCGGTGTGTTGGAGATCAAAGCCACAACATTTAAAATCTGAGTACGACGTTACGCCAGTAATTACAACTAGCTTCATCAGGCAACAGCCAGATTTGTGGAGAAATCCTGTTTCGTTCCTTAAATAGAGGGGTAGATGTGATGGCATCACTTGTGAGCATTTCTTGAAGAAATGTGTGTTTGTAATTGCAGCGAGACTCAGTTCCCAGGAATCAGGGAACAAACACCAATCAAACGTCACATTGACTGCTACGAAAAGTGGGTCTGGTACAGAATGATGGTGATGGGCAAGACTGGTAATTACAGCAGCCTAATTAATGAGGGCTGGCTCTCGAGAGGATGACCAGTGGAGATACAGCGAGGACAAACAGTTTAAGAGCAGGAGATGGATGGTGGCATCGCGTGATCATGAGTAGGGCTGGATTAAGGTTATGAGGGGCCTCGGGCTAATAGAAGGCAAGGGACTTAGTATGGGCAGTAATACATATCGGGGAAAATAATTGTCATCAAACATTGATTTTCCTAATGTAAAATTACCACATTTATTCGACTCAAAATCATCAAACACAGATCACTCGCGATACTCATGTCTTCAAACAATTATTTTTGTTTCCTCTCACCTTCAGCTGTGGGGCAAAGTCATGAATCCTGTCATTGTAATTCCAGGACAAAACAACGTCCGATGGGCGCGCTACAGCCGCTCAACTGTTACGTCAACATGCAATGGAGGGCCCAAAGGAGGGCCTACAGCAGTACAGCAGTGTTGTTCAGTCAATTTCAGAGGGGTGGGGGGCACTTTAGCCGATATGACAGCATCAGTGCGAGGGCTGCCACACATTTGAAACCATTGGGGGGTTGACAGCACGATGATGATGGTGAGGGAGAGGGGGGGGGTCACTTTGTGTATTTTCAGGGGCCGCACTACGAAGCCACCAGTGGCCGCCAGTGGCCCGCGGGCATTGTGACGAAGCACCACTGGCCCACACAATATTGAGGGCCTTTTTTAGCCTGTGGGTTAATCCGAGCAGATCATGGCGATGGTGCTGAAGGCATTAGATAATGTTTCATTAAATAACTTAGCTGCACCATCCACTCTGGTCTAACAATTGATCGCCCGGGTCGTTCCGTTTCACGCAAGCAAGCATTGACATCACCCAATGCCGTGGTTGATCGCCTTCTGGGCAGGTGCGCGCACAGGGCTGATGTAACTTGCGATATAACACTGCATGTTTTTAAGTGATGTGCCATTCTCTTGGGTTCTTTCGGTAAAGTCACGTAGGTATAAAATGAAAATAAAATAAATAATGTGATTTTCATTTTAAATAAAATAATTCATGTAATTTATGGGGGTTTTAAAATAAAATAAATCATGTGATTTGTTTTATTTTATACCTACGCGACTTTACCGAAAGAACCAAAAAGAATGGATCCCTGCAGTCACGAAAGCTTCAAATCAAGGTTGTTGTGCCATTGCTTCATATGGGCCATTTAGCACACCCCTTATTGAAAAACAATGCTCCGTATAATCGCCTGTTGCGGCGTGTCGCGTGATGCATGTGTGTTATGCCACGCGAGTTCGTCTGTCACGGAGAGAGAGCGCGAGCGGAACTGGCTCTTGTGCCAAGAAGAAAGCCATTCCCTTGTGTGGTCTCTCATGGACACCTTTGCGATCGCATCCTCGGGCTCCGTTGTCCGCCAGTGATCCTTCCCTCCCCTCTCCTCCCCTCCCGCCTCTTGCAGCTTGCAGCCGCACTCTCACGTTCCCCTTCTTCTGTTGCACAGGAGGATGCGTCTTAGGGCCGAGCCGGTTAGTAAACAATGTCCTGACGTTCCCCTCCACCGCCCTTTCCCCCCCTGCTTCTGTTGCTGCTGCCCACAACGCAGCCTACGCCCCGACCTGCACGCCCGCCGCGGTGCAGCAGGCGTGATGTCATCGGCCTCGACCAGAACAACCGCGGGCAGGATTGAAACTGCACTTATTAATCAATCAATCGTGAATTTGACAGTGTGCATGATTTACCTGCAGCGCAGACGGCCATCGAGACTTTGTATCGTAAAATGTCTGCATTGCGATATAGGGATAATTGATTCACCACACACACACAAAGCATTGCAAACGCGAAGTGTTTTGGCTAGCCCCCCCCCCCCCCGTGCTCCACACAACGTGCATAGAGAGAGAGAGTGATGCGGGGAGCAGTGGGCACGTAAAGCGATGTAATAGTGTGTGTGTGTGTGTGTAATAGAGCATCTCATCTGATGTGCGCAACGTCGTTCCAATTGAACGCGCGCAGCTTGAGCCGCTCATCCTTTAGGCTGACGTCAGTCAGCTGGCGTCTCGGGGGAGAGCGCAGAGCGCGCCTGCTGCATCACCGTGCCGAGTAACAGCAGCGGCAGCATCGCCGCTGCGTGGTTGGAGGTGGGGGGGGTGAGTGGTGGGGGGCGGCGTCATTAGGGAAAGGCCGGCAGGAACATTCAAGCCTTCCGATAGATGACACATCATCTCATCGTGCCGCGCGCTTGATTGAGCAGCAGGCGGAGGACCGCGGTCGGTGCGCGCCACGGGCCAAACGAAACGGTAGGGACGGGCGCGGCGGGTCGGGTGATAATAGGTGGTTCCGAGAGAGGGAGGAATCCTGCAGCTGCTGCTGCTGCCTGGCTCCCACGCCCAGCCCCGGCCGGCTTCCTGCGCCCCCCCACCCACCGCCCAAGCCACGAGGAGCAGCAGCAGCGAGCTGGGCTCAGAAGACAGAGAGGGAGATGCCGCTCCTCACCTCGGCGCCTTGCGTCGTCCTCTGCGCGCTTCTCAGCATCACGGTATGCGACTTACTTCCGTGCGAATTAACCGGAGATTCGTTTGGGAATTGCTCGATGACTTGCATTTTTTTTTATACAATTTGCATTCCGAAGAGCAATTGATATGCGGCACAGGATCACTCATAATATAACACGAAATAATAATTTAGCATCGCTGTTGAGAATACAATTAACAAAATAAATAATCTGGAAATAACGCATTGTTCTACACATCCCATCAGCCACACGGTCTTCTGGGAAGCGCTTACATTGTCCTCGGAATGCAAATCTACGAATCAGTCGGTCCATCTCACAATCGCGTGCAAGGGGGTGGAGGTTGTAAGCGACGGCCTGCTGCTGCTGCTGCGGTGGTGGTGGTGACATTCACGCACCGTGAAGCACTCCCAGGTGGATTGATGGCCCAGCCAGAAACCTCCCTCCCTGGCTGTGGTGGTAGCCCAGGGTGCGGGAGTGCGGTGGTGGTGGTGGGGGCATTCCAGCATCGTGCAGCACTCCCAGGTGGTGGCCCATCGAGACACCTCACTACAATGGCTGTGGTGGCGGACATCGGAAATGTGTCGTACGAGACATTTCATCCAATCGCGATGTCTCTGCAGGGATCATGAGCATCTCGTCTTCACAGACGCATCCAGCGGTGTCCAGCCAAAGGATTTGACAACTCGCGAATGAGCAGGCCTGCCGCTACTTATCTCTGCACGTGGCGATTAGATACGGGATGCGAATTATGCCATGCTCCGAATTTAATTTGCATATACTGCAGTGGGGTTATGTATTATGTTGAACTTCTTTCGCACCGTACGTAGCCAACCGTGCTAATCGGAGGTGTGGGGGAATGATAACAAACTAAACACAAAAAGCAGTTGCGAAGAAATTACTTTTTAAATCGACATTTAAGTACTGAATGGCACGTTAACAGCAACAAAATGCCGTGTTATTTCCATACAGTTGTCAGCTTTAAGTAAATGCTCATGCAGTTAAAGAGCGTTGTCATACTGCGGGGCTTTTGAGATAAATGCACCCTCGAATAAATTCGCCAGTTTCTGTGTGAAATGCCGTTCATATAAACCAAGTGCATTATTCCACTCGTGCGAGTCACATTCTCCCTGACTAGCCGTGGCTCGCACCTGTAGTAGTAATAATAAGAGCATGTGGGATGCATTACAATCCCTGTAATATATTTTGTATGTGTGGGAGGGGAGTGTTTTTAGTTTCCACCACTGACCGCCAACTCGCTCGTCCTCCCACCCGGGTTCACGAATGAAATCAGACCCAGCCTCGTGTATCAGATGTTCCGGGGCAGGAAATACACTGAGGCCCCCATTCAACCTCTGTTGCATTAGCTTGCTCGTGTAAACTTGCAGACTCACAATCCCTTGCACTCACGGGACCTCCATGTCATTGATAAAACTTATTTTTTTCCGCGGCAGGGTGGCGCCTTCCTTGTGCGTCACATCAAAAGCAGCCTGGGTTCGATTCCCGACTCTGGCGCGTTTGTGTGTGGAGTTTGCATGTTCTCCACCTGTTCTACATGGATTTCCATAGCTAAAAACACCATGTAAAGTTAAATATATCTCAATGCTCAAAATTACTCAATTGGGATTAAACATCCTGCAAAAACTTGGCATGACCCTCCCTGATAAAGAGTATTGAGGTTTGGTGAGTCTCAAGCATAGTAATACAATTCATTGAAGAACATTAAAGTGTATTTAAACACTAGACAATTTCCGGATCACTTGTATTGAATACTGCACTATAGCAGTCCCATACATTGAAGGGTTATGTTTACATTCTATGATTATAGCCTTCAATCCAGATAGGATTATGAATATTGCAATGTGCTTATCAAATGAAAAAATAGAATTCTATTCATGGAGATGTTACATCCAATACTCCCGCTTTAGTCATCCCCACAAGGACAGTTGAGCAGTGCTGCTCGGTCTGGTTATTTTAAAATTAATGCTAAGCCTTTTATAATCGATATACAGTACTTATTAACACCACTTCGAAAATCCGAGTTTATGTAATGGCCATGCTGGGTATTACATCCAATATCATTCGAGGTCACCGTGGCACATTCTGTGCATGCCACCACGTCTAACGTCACTTCCTCCTGCCAAATCCCTGAACCTTTGCACAGTTAACATCTGACCGCCAGACTGCTCACCATCTGGTCTCAGGTGCCCCCCTTGGCTGTGATCTCCTGGCTGCCCTTTCCACTGCCCTTGTCCTGGTAGCCTCCCTCGGCATCCTGCACAAGTCCCTTCCTGATTTAGCTTGCGACACTTCTCCGCTTAGGTTTGCTCAATGCTTCCATATTGGATGTAAATTGTGAGCACCGTCAACGGATGCATTTATTCAAAGGATAGACGTTTACTCTCGAGTTGTTTTTCTATGGCCTAGATATCTTCTTCTTCTTCTTCCGTATGGCTTATGTAGATGCAGAGCAACAAATACAATTTCACATTCAGGTGATCAAGCCAAATAACCGCGTCAGGAGCAGCGGAGTGTATCGCTGTGATGTCTCCTTCCTATTTGTGTATAGGCCATTGCGTTGTTATGCGTTATACGGTCTGCTCTGGATGACCACAGTGGCACACTGGAGAGTTTTTAATTGTCCATTTGTGCATCAGGTGTCCGCATCTACTGCCATGATTTGTGCCGTGGATACTATTTATGGTGGAGCATGAGCTTCGTGGAAGATGAAACCCAGGGATCTTCTGCGTTGGGTCGTTCAGATCTCTAACCCATACAGAATAGACAATATGGTAGGTGGCTTACAGCATTGGTGTAATAGGTGCCCTTAACACCGGTGTCTTAACACACTGCCAAGAAAAGTACCAATACCTCATACTCGAGGTGTGGTAAAGGGGCTCCCCCTGGTTTTTATACCTGGTTGAGGTTGCCAGCCAGCGCTTGATCCAGTTCTGTTTTGCCCTTGCTGCAGTCGGAGTCTCTTCCCATGGTGGCCATACCCGTTGTGAGGGCACCCCAGTGAAGCGATTTCCCACAGTCCGGCCACCTGACAGTGCCAAGGACCATATCTAGTGGGAGGTGACCTTAGCAGCAGGTGTATAATCTGGAGTCATCTGTTGTGCTGGTTCATTCCTGGAAGGAGCTCCGGGCAGATGACTGCTGGGGGCAACGGTGAGGCCAAATTTGGGAACAGTGGCATTTGGCTATGATGTTTATGCATAAACTTCTTTCGCATCTTACGTAGCCAGCCATTCTAATCGGAGGTGTAAGTGCCCTGGCTATACTGCAGCAGTTGACTCTGGTTAATAACGCTTCTCTTCTCATGTTAAGCTATGTCTCAGACGTATGTTAATTGCTCTCATGTGGCTGACCGAAACGTCATGTTTTCTTTAGTTATTTTTTCTATCTACGTGACTTTACCGAAAGAGCCAGAGAGTATCATATATATTGTCTATTTCACATCTGATTAGCACGGTTGGCTACGTACGAAAAAAGTTCAACATGCATACATATATACGTTTCACACCACCCTTATCCTGAGACCTCTGGCACTGTTTTGATCTTCTCTGGGTCTGCGATTCTCTCCCTCCACTAAATTAAGTGGTTGTGCTTAAGCGCTCACCACATGCAGATAATAATTCAAAACTCTTCTCTAATCTGACTACAACTGACATTAAACTTGTATATAAGGTGCTTAGGTCATTGTCATTGGTGACTTGTACACAGCAATGTATAACTGCAAGAGAGCCACGCTACAAATGAAACTGACGGTGAAGCTGAATGTATGTCAATTGAGAACAACCTTGACCGATTGGTTGACTGTGCTTCTCGCAGATCAGACTGTCGCAGATTTCTATAGCTACTTCAGCTGTGTACGTGACTTCTGACCTAACTTGACACACAGTTGATGTGACTACACTAAATGACACATCTGACCACTGTGTAATCGCCATAAAGCACCTCTAACATCCTTAAACATCAAATTAGCAAGACTAAAAAAAGCATTATCTGGTGATAAAATCAATCTTGCTTCCAATGGCATAAACTCTGTTTTTAAATAAATTATACATTAGTATGTGCCTTGGCTGTTAATACTATTATACTGCTGTGTGTGTAAACATGTATCCTTGATTCATGCTCTTTTTTGGAAATTAAGCAGTAGTCTCTTCTGAAGGGAGGGCATATAAGAAAGAGATGTAGTCACTGTTGGTCTTACTCATCTCTACAATCCTACAATGAAAAATTGCCAGCGTGTCATCAAGCAGGACAAGTTTGATTTTGTGAATTGCAAATACAAAAAAACCTGGCAGAATCCTGTCCTCTTGGTTCTCATCCATTTTGACCACTTTCTAAAGCAGTTTCACACATTTTCTGCAACACTTTCACCAATCTGGGACTGCAATTCTAGACACAAAGGACAAGATCAGTAACCACATTGTAAAACAAATATAAAATGCCAGTTATCAGTTTTATGCACGGACAATGACGTATAACCAGAGTTTTTCCTGTGGTATGGTGGTGAATTGGGGTGACCGCCCCGGGCCCCGTGTTTTGGGGGGCCCCGCGCTTCGACGTCACGGCGTCAGTTGTAACACTTCCGGTTTAGTTTGATGGCTTCGGGGGGCCCACACCGTGATTTACCTTGGGCCCTGCAGCCCGCACTCCCCAATAGACGCCCCCTGTGTATAACAATGAACATAAATGTACATTCCTGTGCGTTTTTGTGTCTGTTATCTTATACGTGGTGTATCGTTTCGCACACTTGGCTTGCAATTCAGTTGCCCGGCGCGGCAGTTGCAACAATAGAGGACGTTTCTTGAATTTCCTTGCCTCTGCTGTACTCTCCGGGCAGTTACAATGGGTCGTCCAATCAATTACAATGGGTAATCCAATCAGCTACAATGGGGACCTCACAGGTAGCCGATTGACGGGTATCATGTGGTTGGGTAACTTGGTTGTCAGGCAAAAATCTCAGCTCTTAAAACAAGAAGGTGTACATTACTTTTCTATTACAACCTTCTGTTCTC